AAAGAACGAATTAGATTTATCTTTCCCTGAAGGGGGAAAAACTATGGAAATGTATATACTGTCCATTCCACGTTGCTTTCCTATATACCGGTAACTGGATGAAACTGTCGCTGCGACGTCTTATAAGTACGTCTAACAACGCTAGACTATTGTCCTTTTCCTTTTTCAAAGTAAAGTTTACGCTCGAATGGACATTGTTGAACTATCCAAGCAACCGATTGGTGTCCACATCTGCATCTGCTATACATAATAAGTCAATAACGTATCGTCTTTATAGGGTACGCTATCTGATACGGGGTTCAACGAGATCGTTCTCAAGTTTGGCCATAAAGATATCAGCGAATAATGGCCCTAAAGGTAACCCCATTGCAACCCCATCCTTCTGACGATATAATTCACCATTTATTTGAAACTGGACGATATGCGTGCATACAAATAATAATTGTTTCAGTTCATCCAATGGAATGTCCATATCGATGCTGTTCTCTTTAATAAATTCACATGTAATTGATAGTTTTAATGATTGGCACATTCATGAACAAAAGTTAGAACGTCATCCTCATCTCTGTGTGTCTTCCAAATGCATACGTTTTCGTTTCTAAATATATCCCGCTTTGTCTGTATGGCATAGAGCATGGTATTACTCTCGCACTTCTGTTCTTTGCAGCTTTCTTTTCCGGTGCGGTTACCACTCCAAGAGGTATTGCATTTGCTTTATCCACAGTCCCAGAGCATCATTCATCTAGGACGTACCCCGTGATGACCGACCGGTCAGCTATATCCGAAATTATTCGGTATGAAGAGGAGGGACAACCATTGTGCCACGATTTACAAACCCTATTCAAACAGCGCATGGCACATTGGATTTCTCGTTCAAAAGAACGTCAGAAGCGGATCAAATTGGCCGCATTTGAGCGTCGATACAGTCGAGCCGTGCAGGCGGAACGTGTTCAGCTGTTCCGCGCATCTCGGGACTTGTGCACTTTGCAGCAAGATGCGCACGAAACTGCGCGCTCCGCCTTGCGCGATGCTGTCTCTTGTTGCAGTGCTCAATCGAGGGAACCTGTTCAGAAGACTACACCGAGATCACGCCAATCGTCTATTTTCAGTGGACTTTGTTCGCCACACGTTCATCCGAGTCCCAAACCGATCAGTTCAAGTAAGCTTTGTTTCAATTTCGGCGATTCACCAGGATGAAGTTTGATCACTTCCGATATAAATTGTGAAACACTGATTTGCTCAACGAGGTTGGCAGTATGTGTTCAGCTGTCAAATTAATGTTCAACATGGCCATAGTTTACTAATATTTGAAAGCGACAGTTAAATAGTCATATATCTTGTGAGGAAAAGATGTCATAAATATTACGCTGTTTATATATAAATCAATATTGAACCATGAATAAACAAACAATTGTTTTGGGAAAAGGAAACTAGCCTCGGTTATGTGGGGTTAATTTCATCTTCGGACCGAATGTGGAATTCTCAGTGATCACATAATTGTTCAAACTGTTGTTTGGCAGATTGAAGTTTTTATGTCGAGATTGTTAAAAGTTGAGTATCCTCAGTGGGATTCGAACCCACGCACGGACGCCACCTTCGCCTTGTGTGCAATGCACTATCAGTTGAGCTGCGAGACCACACCGAGAGTACTGATGTTTTCACATTCGAATTACCCATCCGGTGAATTCCGAGGAAGACCTGTCGGGGCAGTCAACTTGCCTGCTAACTCGTGGATGCCATATGCCTCTGTAAGTTGGATGGGTAATTCGAATGTGAAATGATCAGTGCTATTGGTGTGGCCCCGTAGATCATCTGGTAGAGCGTGCACTGTACAAAAGCATAGGCGGGATCACAATTGTTAAGTCATCCGATAGTTGGGGCCACTCGGAATATAGAGTGTGTGTGGGGGTGGGTGGGTCAGGGGAGCTTAAGCGCCTGCACATATTGTTTTTGGACACACAGAGGGGGTTGTGCAGACGAATTCCTACCACTTCCGCTGGGGTCAGCATACGACATCGAACCTGCCTTGATAGTCCATCACGAACCCGATACAGGGGACTGAACGCCTTGGTCACATTCGCAATGTTATTTGTTTCAACTAGATGCGAAACCTCTGCACCAGTTAGTGACCTAATCGTTCTTTTTTTCAGCCATGTGGGATGGCTAACCGTGCGACCTACGCACGTTCCACAGGAACACGTGAATGAGTACACAACAACAGAATCCGGTATTTTGTCCTTTAGTTGTAAACACAATTGGCTGGGACGTGAACAAAACATTGCACTTTTCTGCATAGGTCTCACTAACAGCATCAGATAGTCTTCCTTGTATTACCTTCTACAAGTAGTATTAAGAAGCAGGATCTGTGGGATATATATCCTGTCAGGGAGAAGTATCACCTGTTACTGAAGAACTGTCGCACCACCTTGGGGCATTCAACTAGCTTTTCACGCCTAATTGATGCTGATTTCTCACTTGTAGCTCAAAGCAGCTTATCCCCTGTGGGTAGCAATTATGTTCTGATGGATCGCTCCCCAAGTTCCCTAAACTAAGTTAAACGTGTATGGGACTTTTTAAATTGACCACTTAACCACTGCTCTGCTCTTTTGCAGTTCGTATTTGGTTTTATAAGGGTTGGAGCTGTTCCCTAAAATGAATTGCCAAGTGGTTCTGAGAATCCCGCTGATACTTTCCAAAATGCGTTAAAAATGTAACAAACGCTAAGAAGCTCGATCTATGTGTTTTATCTTTGAGATCATTGTCTGCCGGTTGACCGGACGGAAGATAGAATGCAAGACATCACGGAGAAAACCCCAGTATATCTGCTATTCCATCAGTGCTCACTTGATTGATTTGCTCATTTTTCGTCTTTCCACTCACACCAACTGAAACATTGTTGACGAGATCAAGCGAGAAACAGTCAAGCTTCAAAGACCGACTCGATTGGGCAACTTAGGTGTTCGAACCCGTCCAAAGGGCATAAGATCCAATGAACCGTACACCAGTCTCCAACGGGTTGTGGCTTTCACAAACCGGCCTGTCGCCTTGCGGGTCAAACATTTTCGAATATCATTTAAAAGCAGCAATCGTTTGTGTTGGAGCTAGTGAGGAATAGCTGCATCTGAACCTGAGACAATGCACACTTTGCCTGTGCATACTAGACAACATCTCACTGTTAGTGCATTTTCTAGATTGGAAATGCTTCGTCATCCCGTTTTACGGTGATTGATTTATATATGGACTAAAAGCAGTGATGTGTATTCGAACTGCGGTTTCTTGTATATGTCGTTTATAAGTGGGATTTCAGCATGTAGGTACGTCGGGATTGGCTAACGATTTTCGAGAATGAGATCGGAAGGCATCAGTAAGATGAGTTCGCAGGGTATCACCTTGGTTTATGGAGCACATACAGTGCTTTTAATCCGATTTTCCCGTAGTGTAAAGTGAGCTTCGGCATGAAGATACATGAAAAATATCCCATATTGTCCCATCGTTCGTTATTTAATCAGAATGGTGCTTATTTATTCTTCAACAAGGGAGCCAATGGTGCGCCTGGTGCACCTAGATTCCTGTAACTTTGTCCTAGTTTATTCTTGCCGTTTGAAACATTGAGTTGCAGGTTTGAGGGCTGAGCAAAAGGTTTCCGGATGCACAAAAGATTTATTTGTCACACAAACATAAGCTTTACGTGTTTCCGAAGCATTCTCCACTAGCGTTCGTGCACGGTTCCATGCACTTGAACCGTTCGGTGGAACAGCTCTACTATGCCGAAGTGAGTGAGCCTTCGACCAGTTCAATGGAAGCCATGGACACGACCACCATCTGCTTTGCTACGCTGCTCTCGCTTCGAAATTTCTGAGGCTGCACCTCACCGACCGGCGTTCACTGAGCCGATTGTTGCTTGGTCCCTGGGTCGAAACTGCACAGCCAGGTTTCATCACCACTAATGATCTCTCGAACTGATTTTGAACTTCTCCCATCAAACCTGGCAATTATGGTGCGGCACCAGTTCATCTAAACTGCTTTCTGTTCCTCATTGAGCTGATGGGGTACTCATCGTGCACCAATCTTTCTGAGGCTGAGCTTTTCATGTAGGACAGTTTGGATTGATGCCAATGGCTTTTATCAGCCGTACCACTGTCAGCCGCGCATTCTTCTCCATCATCGCTTGCACAGGAGCAATACTGTCCGCTGTGGTGTCCTCCACAGGTCGACCATACCGCGCCTTATCGTGCAGGGATCACCTGTCTTGCTTGAATTCCGCAAACTACTCAAACACTGCTTCTTATATGTGTGTCATCTCCAAAGGCAGCTCGCAAACGATCAACACTTTGGTGCTACTTTAAACCACATTTGTAGTCGTAGAAATTCATCTCGCTCCAGTGACATAGACAGTTTCATTTTTACAGTTCGAATATAGCGACCCTCGTATAACCTGTCAGCTGTGCTCGGCTGTGATAACATTCGGTTTTGTGGGTTGCAATCATTAAACAATATCCACAATAGATCGCAGTTCACGTTTTCCTTGCCCGGCCACCTGCAGCTTGTACTCGTGAACTGCGTATTCGGAAACGTTTTAGTCAGCGCTTATATTCAATAACGAAGAAGGCTATTATGGAATTTTAAGATATCTCGCGCACAGACTTTTTGAACACATAGCAGCATAGTAGCATTTTAAACTGCGAAATTACTTCGTTTAAAGGAATTGAGTCACTCAAAACGATTACTTCATTCCTCCCACTGAAGGGTTATAGATGAACCGCAGATATTTTGACTATAGGACAGCTTCATTTCTATTGGCAGAGTAATCACATGTAGTTACAACGCGCATACCGAATGCTCGGTTTCCTGTCGCCGGCTTGCCACATTTGGCTTGTCGTTAGCAGTTTAGAGTGTGCTGTGACAATTCTACCAGTGTTACTATGTGGTGTAGGGGTTTTGCAACGGGTAGGCGATAAATGCAGACCTCGGTATTCACATACTACTGTCTACTCCATATGGCTGAATTTAAGTGGGCCAATCGAATAAGCAATGGTGAATTTAGTGTAAGGGTATCTGGTAATCGTGGTCTCATGGGGCTCAGTATACGCAATTCGCAACACCTGAGACACCGGTTGCGCAAGTTATGAAATAGCTTTCCTCATCGTGCAGTATTTGCCGAGCCAACTGAGATAACTAAAAATTGATATAAGAGTATGAAAAGCTGAAGCATGGGGATTAAATATTTTTTTCCAATTGGCGTCTGAGCGTCAGTAGAGTCGATGGTTAAAAACAGAACCATAACCGCCACAATAAAGTGCAGGGCTAATGGCATAGACTAAAATAAACTTGGAAATAGGGTAAAGTATCGAAAGCAATGACATCGATGCAGCTGCTCACCTTCTGCATGCATTCGGTTCACCTGAACTTGTTACTGCTTTGTGCTTTTACTGCATCTATTTACTTTTTCATGATTGCTGCAATATGTGGGCAGGAAACAGTAACAAGTAGAAACCGGCGCACTGAATTACACGGTTAATTGGAGTATAAACTGATACTAAGCTATTCACCTTGTGGTCTGTATTGTCATGAAGCTTTCGGCTTATTAGCTTTGCGGTTTCTGTCCCTATTCACATCTTGTTCAAAATACCCTGAATGTCTGGCGGCACAACTTACACATACTGTCTTATTCAACCTAAAGAATGTCGCAGTTGCGCTTTACCTATTGACAGATGGCATTTCGATGTGTAACCCAGTCATACAATTTACATTAAAACTAGTTTGAATTGACCAAAATTCGAAAACCAAATATTTACATATTCAATCATATTTGCATGATTTTGTACTGCACGATGGTTCATGCCAGACCACTTGGGTTCTGATGGGCAAGATAGATGATAATCATTTTTGGTCGACTTTAGGGGCCACTGGCTGCAAATTTCCCTTTTAAAGATAACATTACCAAACGATCCACATGGATCATTGTGTGTAAAACTAGCTTTGTCTTTATCAACCACTCATTGATCGCTGACAACCATTTAGCCTGTTATTCTGTATCCAAGCCTTAAAAAAATATTCACAGAAATGTGAGGCATGTCACTTTTTACTACCAATCTGTTGAACCCTGTGGACTTCGAATCTGCCAGCTGTTGATTAATTTCATCTTTTTTATACTTATTATTATTTTTTCTCCACAACAGGTCAGAAATGTGTACAACCTCAGTCACGAACGCGTGCTTCTATCACCCGGGTCCGGTATGTCTTATGAGTTGTGAATTGGCAAAACAGTTGTCTGTTGAACTTCTGGTCACGAAAACCTTTTTAAAACTTTCTTACTCTCCTGTTTTGTGTTAACAATCCACACAGTGTGAACATGGGGTTTAGGGTCCAAGTTGAATTGTGGTTGCGTTTATTGGGGGTTCGAAAATATCTGGCATTTTGCTTCCAGTCAACCATTGACGAACATAGTCCGGTCACGGAGCCGTGGTTCATTTGCTTTGCATGACTTTCGATTTTCCGAATGGAACAGTTTGAGCTGTTTTCGCTCTATTATTTCTACGTGGCACATTGAACAGTATTGAGCGATCATTTTTCAGCTCGGAGTTTTAATTCCTTTTCATTTGGATTTTTGACCTACCTGTGAATAATGTTTCATTTCTATCTTGTTTTGCTATTGCCATATTGGATTTTCTGTTTATTTTTTGAAAAGGTTCGTCACAGTTTTTCTTCGATGTCAGTTGACTATTTGACCGTGAAACCGAATGACCACCCTATATGTACTTATCTGAATATTATCTATAGAATCATCGTGGACCATTCGGTATCCCACGTGTCATGATCTTCCCCTTTTCCGTTATCGTCCTACGTGCGTAGAAATACCACCATATATAAATCTCTGACACATTTCGCCAATCTCGTATCTTTGATGCGAAGCTACGGGAAAGGGAGAGCGGTGGATAAAGTCTACTCGAGCATCAATTTTTGGTTCTCATCTCTTCCCTTTGTTTTATCGTTTCTAGCCTTTTTGCATTTTCTCCACGAACAGCACAACGTCATCGTGTAGTCTTGACTAAAATCTAGGTGAATACACTAACTGAATTCATGCTTTCGCCATGCAGTGACATTTAGCCAAATATACTGTTTAGCAAATAATTTTCCTCCTCAAATTGTATATATAATTTGCAGAAGTGATGTAGCTCTAGAGTTCATTCGGTGTATTCCGGTGGATATTGAAGAAGGGGTGCCGGCATAGGTAGCTAACATAGTAACTGGATGGATGATAGGAATGTGAAAAATCGGCGCTTTCAATGTGGCCTCGTAGTTCAGCTGGTAGAGTGTGTGCTGTACGAAAGCGGAACCTGCGTCGGCAACACAAGAATTGTGCGCAATGCTGATAGGTCCCATCAAAAACGAAATAGTTGTTCACTACTCTTTATCAGCCTTCACATAAATTCTTGGATAAACAAAAAATGTGTTATCAATGTGAAGAATAACAGAATCCTGACGGAGCGAAACACAGTGGACCTATTCGGAGACGCTGCGGTCTGTGATAATCGGATGATGTAATCGAGTTGTTTTTTTTCAGTTTATATTCTATGGTACCTATCCAATTTTCAGAGTAAATGAGATTGAATCAATACGCAAGTACAATTTGTCGGTTTAGTGATGAATCTGGGACATCCACACAGTCAGTCCCCTGATTGATATTCGCGCCTCCTCAAGTGAATCTATTTAGGATGTGGTCCACAAAAAAATTACCGGAACCCATAAGGAATAAAAGCTGTGAAATTACGGGATATATTACCCCGATTCGCTGATTAGTAAAAAGCTGGGTTTGTTAACAGATTTCTATAGCTTTGATCGATTCCTTCAGTCAAATGAATTGCCCGGTTTCATTAAAATTAACGTTCACTCTCAGTTTCTCCCTACCGCATGATTTACTGGTTTAGATAATATACTTTGCTTGGTGATGGAAAGTTTTGGTCATCCGGGGAGGAGGACTAACAGAGGATACGCTTATCTTTGGGTCACGTAGGGGGGGGGGGCTGAACGGGAAGCAGGTGTTTGCGGATTTATCATTCACTCATCAGTCGACAGATCAATGTGTCTTCGTGCTATTTATTCTCTTTCCAGTCAGCAATCGACAACTTGAGATCAGCGACTATCCTCTAGGGATTTTTGTCTTAGACTAATCCTGATTGCCTTATGTTGTACCCAGTACATGCATAGGATCCGTCTGTTCTAGTTAAGGACATATATAAAACTTGCTCAAATATTTTAAACTATAGGTCTACTTTCCCAGTTCCATCAAAATCAACTAAATTTTTCCCTTGATGGCATATTTGCCTGATAAATCAAACCAAAAGGTACTCAAAAGTGATTGAAAATATTTTCTGCGCATTGACCGATTTACTGTGTTTTTCATTTTTCTAGGGTTTTAACTTTTTTCATAAGTCAGCCTATGCAGACTTTGTAACAATAGGTTTGTGGACGTTGGTTCATATCGTGTTGTGTGGTGCTGACAATAGAACAGGGAAACAAAGCACTGGAAAGCAGACTGGGATATACTGTATTAAATTAAACAAAAGGTGGACCAAATAAAGTTCCAGTTCGACATGGTCGGTTTACTGAAATAACAACAATTTGTTGAACAAGTTTGTTTTCACCGCTTCATCTGCTGACCAATCACGGTGCGGAGCACCGGGTAACAATGTTAGGAGACAGGAAATCTCGTTGTTAGTCTTATTCAAACAGCTTGTTCACAATGTGGGTGGTGGGGTTAATGAGACGTGAATGTTTAAATACTTAGAGTGTGAGTGGTATATTTACTTTTTAGTTAGTAAAACAGAGACAAATCAATTTTTTGCCCAGATAGGGTTGTTCTGTTTCCTAATGATACTCTTGTAATTTTTCTGCACACTACCACAAGTTGGTTTTTATACTCCATACTAAAATGCTGTAATTTGGATTAAGCTCATCTGTTTTTGGGCTATACATTTCCTGACATGTTTAGAATAAACCCACTAAACGTAGGCGATGCACATGGTTACCAACATAAGCAAACTGGGAGACGTTTTCTGTATCCAGCCCAATGCATATAACGCTCACTTAACACCAAACTACTTTATCCACTGATACAGTTTGTTTAGTCTGAGAGACACAAGAAATAAGTTCAGAGGTTTTAGGCACTTCTCCTTATCGGGTAGGCATTTTTTGGCTCGTGTGTGTTTTGTTTGGCAGGCCAAATTGCCCAAAGAACTAAAAAAACGGAGGAAAAGCAAACGGGGTGTGTTTGCAAATGGCCAGCCGTGAAGTCTGAAACCAGCACCCATTTAGAGCAATAAATTGGAATAATAACTATATAGGAATAAATAAAATCTATTTTATGGTCCTTCCGAAGAACGAGAACGCGCTCACTGACAAACCGGTTACCGAATCTTCTCAACTGTATTGGGCATATTTCAAGTCCATGCAATTTCCGGAATTTCGGTCCTATTGGAATCGCACTCATTTGGACCACTTTTCGTAAACGCCTATACAGATTGATTCCGTTCGTCTCTCACCCCTTATTGTTATTGCATACATGGGTCCATTTATTCCATCTCTCCGCTCATTTTTCAGACCAATGCTCCCTAGGGACCAACAGCGACGCGCTATGGAAAACAAACTGTCGCAATTGCGCACCAATCGTTTGCGGATGAAAATCTACGGTGAGGTGAGCAGTTTATTCGATTACACAATGCAAAGATTATAAGTTCCTTTGGTGCGTATCATCGACCTGCGTCGGTTTTTTTATACTTCGTTAGATTGGCCACTTTTCATCTGTCTAAATTCCTAACCTGGAAACTGTGATAGATTATGTGATCAGGCTTTAGTATCCAAAAGATGAAGAAGTGAATCTACGATGAATCGAATCGAAACGGACAATAAATCCTCCTTGACTTATAACTACAATCGATTGTCGTTTCTGTTTGTACGTGATTGAGATGGCCGTGTTATGTGTTTCTTGGATTTCAGATCTACTTGCGTTTGTTCAATATGCAAACCGAATGACAGACTACATTTTTCCAGCAAGTGTTCTTAGAGAGTAGCTATGTTGTTCTAAATAATATTAACTCTCGTAAAATATTCCCATTGATGCATAAGGACAAAGTAGAAACGCGAAGAAATTTATCTTCGCTATATCGGTTCAGGCATTTACATATTTAGTTCCATCAGTCAGTCGATTCATACAAGGCCTAAGCGGATGTTGAGTAAATGTCTGTGTTGGTTGACAACAAACTATTTGATGGTCTACTGACTAATCGATCTGTATATGTAATGCCTGAAGCGATATATCAAAAAGACTTATGGACTGTTATTCCAGAATAAACCCATTGTAACATTAAAACACAAGTCCGAAGACGAACAATTGTTTTGGAATGATTCAAAATCGTACCTGTACAGATCATTTAAGGGTTTGTTAATAGTGGGGACACATTTTCACGCTGGGTCGAAAGGCCATTCGGGATGGGGAGAGGGAAGGGGTGGGGTAAACCGTATTTGTCTGTGTTCGGGGGG